TCAAAGTTATTATAAAGTGTTACCAGAGATTCTTTGGCCGTTTGAACCTCCTCATGATTCTTAACATCTACAGTGGTTTGTGCAGCTCAGCAACCTTTCGTCGCACATCACTGCTGTATTCTTTGGAATTTCTCATAGTGACCGTTGACTGAGGGAATTTGGCCTGTGTGTCACCTCAGATTTATACCCCAGTGAAGAAGGAGGTCATGGCTGACTAAGTGTTCGTAATCGCTCAAGTGAACTTTAAAACAGTATGAATGAGAATATACTTTAATTAGATTTCACTCCTAAGAGTTTCTAGAGGTGCCAATAATTGATTTGAGAGAAATATTCATTTCATGATTAGATTTAGTGTGTTTCTTTTTTGTCTTTGTACTTTAAATAAAGGTTAGGTTTTTGGTAACATTTTGAATAAAATATTGAAAAGATAAGCAATAAAGAATGTTTTTACAGGCTTTTTTTCTCATGTTTGCCAGTATTTGTAGAGGGCACTATATATGTTCATTTCTCTGACAAATAGCATTGGTACATCGTCCACTGAGGAGAAAATATCTCATGTAGAAGACTAATCTATATCAGCGTGGCACTGCTTAACTCTTGGCTCTGTTAGCTTATATGCTCGTCTGAAAAGGGTGCCTCCATTGCACATCCAGCACAAAAACCTAACCATTTCCCTCGGCTCTTCGAATAATGAAACTTTTTAAGTTAATTTTTGTGCGGCTGTTTCTTCCTCTATGCCTAGCCAGATATCCATTCATGAACTCTAGAATATCAAAATTAGTAGGAAAGCACATTCCTACTGAGAAGTTCAATTAACTGGAGAACACATTATATTACATAAACCGTACCTCTTGCAAGGCAAAACAGGTCAGTTAAATCAGACTACACTTCAGCTTTATATCAGATAGCTGAGTTACTGTCTTAGGTAGGGTAATACTTTTTAAAGTGGTCTCTTTGAATTGATTGTGTCCATCAAACACACCTCTAACAGAACTAAATTGAAGGCTGTGTATCAAACATTAATTTTGAAGAATGAACATTAGCTAACAATAGAGTTTCTCTAGCTGGCTTGTTTTGCCTGCGTTATTAATTGTATTCCAGACGTTAAATGAGCAGAGACTAGAGGGGTTTTGGGTTGGGTTTTAGAGGGTGTTTGTTTTTTTTTTTGTTTTTGTTTTTTAGCAACAAATTTTGGCACAGTCCAACACCGAAAGTTTAACAAGTTGTTCTCAGATGTGTTTTCTCGTTATGCCCTGCAAGACTAGACTGTGGGCTGCATCTCAGCTATGGTGTGGATTAGGTTTGTATTATACATGCATGTTTTTCATTCCAATGAATGGAAATTCTTTGTAGAAACTGGGTCAGCCCGTTCAGGACAGATACACAGAGTCAGAGGAGCGACCTAAAGCTTTTGATGACCTGGGAAAACAGCTTCAGCAGTACATGAAGATTGTGGAAGCCTTCAAAATAAAGGTAAAAGTTGAGTGCTTTGTGTCAGGTTGCATAATTATTTGTATCCGTCCATGAATTGTCTAATGGTTTTGTACCGTTTTAACTGAAGGAGGAGCAGTATGACCATTTGGATGAGGCGGAAGTGCAGAAAGTTGATAAGATGGTGAATGAAGTCATGATATGGATGAACAGCAAAATGAATCAGCAGAGCAAGCAGAGTCTGAATGTGGAACCAGTGGTGAAAGCTGCAGAGATTACAGCAAAAACAAGGGTGAGTCATTACCTAATGGCCTGATTCTTACCATCAAAGCATTTTCTTGAGCTGTATTTTTGTACTGACATTCATTTTCCTACCCACTCCTGCGTCGAGACAGGTTAATGGGATATTTTACTCAGTGCTGCCATGGCGAACAGTGAATAAAAGCTAGTGCCGCCAGTACTATTGGTGGACATCTATCTTTTCTTCAGTTCATTCACTAGCATGCTTGGTAGAACTGTCCACTTTTTATTAATATAATTAATATATGAGCCAATTACGTGCTGTTCCTCAGGAGCTGTTCTCAGCCTGCAACCCCGTCGTGACCAAACCTAAGCCAAAAGTGGAGCTGCCAAAAGACGACAAACCAGCAGAACAGAACGGACCAGTCAACGGACAGGAGAACGCTGAAGCCGAGGCTGGGGACAACGAGAAAGCGCCAGCAGATGGAGCAGAAGCCACTGACTCCAAACCAGACATGGACCTTGACTAAGCTGGCTGTGCTCTTCCATTATGTTTCCCAGTCACTGCTCAAGTCATTCCATCTTCTCCACCATGGGGTTGTTTCAACAGTCTGAATGATTAGTGGCTACATGGTGCATGTTCATTCTTTTTGTTAAAAAAAATACATAAAACTAATAATAAACTGAAAGCATAATGCAATAAGACTGCTCTTTGACATCAATGCTGTGTGCGCACATGGTTGAGTATCTGTGGTGTACTGCAAAATATCTGGGTCTGTGGCAACTGTTGGGTTTTAATAAATATTGAGTTTAAAGTGTACGTTTTCAATGTGTTTTATTTACAAATGTGATTCTACCTGTTTGTTCTGTGTATCTGCCTGTCAAGCTATTCAGCATTTGTCTGTTTCTCATTCAGTTAAAGTGGTCTCAGCCTGGTTTTGCTGAAGCTAAAGTTACAGCAAGAAATTGTAATGTTTAATTTAAAGTCTGCTTGCCTCACAGCAAAAAGGGCCTGGGTTTGAATGCCCGGCTGGGCAACCAGGGTCCTTTCTGTGTGGAGTTTGAGTGTTCTCTCCGTGTCTGTGTGGGTTTCCTCCGGGTACTCCGGTTTCCTCCCACAGTCCAAAGACAGGCAGTCAGGCTAACTGGACATGCTTAATTGCCCGTAGGTGTGAATGTATGTCTGTCTGCCCTGCAATAGACTGGTGACCCGTCCAGGGTGTATCCTGCCTTCTGCCCAGTGACCGCTGAGATAGGCTCCAACAACATGGAGATAAAAAAAGCATTGTGGAGATTCTATTAATTGTGCTTTTTAATGCAAGAGAGAACGCCTGCAAACGATCAGCTCACTGTAGCACTCCTCCTGCCTCGGCTGTAGAGCTCTAGTGTTGTAAGTTGTGCAAAAACATGATTACAGTCATAATTTTTCTTCGAATTTTGTTCAAAGTGTGAATCAAATCAAATCTTCGGCTGAGTTTATCGTCACACTCCTACTCACATATAATTCTTACTTTTAGTGAGAGCTAAAACTGCTTTCTTTAAAAATCTGCTATGCCTGCAGTCAGAGAATTTACAGAGGGGAGAACTGCCACTCAGTAATGTCTTCAGGTTTGTCAGACACTAGAGGGCGCTCCTAAGCGAGTCCAAAATGAATGGGTTAATATGGAGCATTTAAGCAAAATCACAGTTTGTAAATGCTTAAACATTTTTATATAGAACACATTCATTTCCTGAACACAGAACACCATAAAACATTTTAACACCGCTGTTATATTTTTAGGCTTTTGATCTCCAGTAATAGAACTTTATAACAGTGCCTCATGTACGTTCATGACATCAGTGAACACAAACCACTTCACGCTGCTTTCCCACTGAACATGTGCTGTGTCTGAAATGGTCTGCTAATCACTATGACCACTCAAAACTCTGTATAAAATGCTATTATAGAGAACAGAATTGGTGATGATAGTAAACGATTTCAGACACTGCATCATGTGGGTCTGTTCATTACTGTGCAACAGCAGATTCCGTCGCTTAAGCACAATAAATGTCATGCCACCAGTCCACTGTAACCACTGAGTCTGGCTGTACACATCAGAAGAGCTGACTCACATCTGTAACAGGTCTGAAGAGAGGACGCAGTGCATTATGGGTCTATTCTATCCACTAGGGTACATTGTTTATACACTACTCATTGTGGTGCATTGTGGGATTGTTTGAGTTCACTGGATGTTTTCGGGACACTACTACAAAATTGCAGAACCCCCAAATAGTGTACTATATTGTGAAAAGCAGCACTGCTGTGTCTGATCCACTCATACCAGCACAACACACACTAACACACCACCACCACGTCAGTGTTACTGCAGTGCTGAGAATGATCCCCCACCCACATAGTACCTGCTCTGTGAGGCTCCGTAAGGGGTCCTGACCACTGAAGAACAGGGTAAAAGGGGGCTAACAAAGTATGCAGAGAAACAGATGGACTACAGTCTGTAATTGTAGAACTACAAAGTGCACCTATATAGTAAGTGGAGCTGATAAAATGGACAATGAGCGTAGAAACAAGGAGGTGGTCATAATGTTATGCCTGATCAGTGTAGTTCACCACTAATAGAAGCCCAGTCATTAGTGTGGTATGTGGTTTTGGACAGAGCTGATTTGTGTTGAAGTGCAGCAGCAGTGTGAACAGCTTCACTCAGCCAATGAGCTGCTCCGCTCACCTACCAATCAGCACTCAGTAGCAGCAAGGCTAGCCTTCTCCTGCCCAAAACCTGTTTGCTGGAAAAAAAATGGGAAAATACAGGCAGTATTTCTTTGCTTTTTTAGTGAAATACATCCTTCTTCTTTCCAAATTTACAGAAAGGTCCCGGACAAGTGGTTAAAATCTGTTTTAACTTTTCATTTTTAGCTCCATTCTCCCCCATTCACTGAGGCCTCGCTCGCGGGCGCCCTCTGGCGTTCAGCAGTCGTGTTTTTGCTCTAGCGGGAGAAATGGGAAGTGGTCAGGCTCCCCTTAAACAGCTCTGCCTGCAGTCACACGCTTCTCTTTCTCCCTGTCCGTCTCTTCCTGCGGGAGGTGGGAAACGCCTGCAGGTCAGCTGATTCAGTGCTTCATTCAGTCTCTGCTCATCATGTGATTAGATCTTGTGAACCGCCAGTACAAGTTACAGTGCAGTCACAACACATTTAATACAGAGTCTGGTGAAGCACATCATCAATAAATGTCTGTATGATTAAAAATGGCCATATTATTGTACGACTTCTTCGCGCTGTTCGTTTCCTTTGCTCGTGTTTTCAACAATAAGCACTTTTTCCTGCTCCGGGTCCTCCCACCGCTGATAAAGCCTCTTCCTGCTACTCTCAGCCACTTTATGAGGCTAAAGTCTGTCTGAGGCTGCTCTGTGTCTCAGCCCTCTTCTGTTTTCGTGGCGCTGCTCTGATCATAGTCTCTCCACTAAAACCCCGAAATAACGTGACAGCGATGAAACTGATCATCCTCAGCGACTACGACGCAGCCAGTGAGTGGGCAGCCAAGTACATCAGAAACAAGATCATCCGCTTTAAACCTGGACCCGACAGGTTCTTCACTTTGGGCCTCCCAACAGGTACTCCGCACACTCCAGTACACCTGCCCTGCAACCGCACCTCAGGCTTAAAGGGTTCTCTGCATGGTGAAGTGGTTCTTCAGATTGATGGAGAATGTGTTGTAACGTTATATGATTCCACACTTTAAAAATGATGGTTCTTCAAGGGTTCTCTGGTAAAGAAAATGGTTCTATATAGAACCATGAACACTCAAAGAACCCTTTGCATGATTTAAGGGTTGTTTGCATTCTGAAAGTGTTCTTCACACTGATGGAGAATGTGCTGTAGATGGTTCTATAAAGAACCTTTTTTGAAAAGGGTTCTATATAGCACCAAAAAGGGTTCTTCGGTTGTTACAAGATTGACATCGTTACAATAGAATAACCTTTTTTGGTGCTATGTAGAACCATATACAACACATTCTCCATCAATTTGAAGAAGAACTATTTAATGATGCAAAGAACCCTTTAATCATGCACAGGGTTCTGTGAGTATTTATGGTTCTGTATCGAACCATTTTCTTTACAAAAGAACCCTTGAAGTACCATCATTTTTGAGAGTGTATAGAACCTTTTTGAAAATGGTTCTATATAGCACATAAAAGTTTCTTCTATTGTTACAGGCTTGGCATCGTAATAATAGCAAAACCCTTTTTGTTGCTATTTAGAATCGTTTTCAAAAAGGTTCTATACAGAATCATATACAACACGTTCTCCATCAATTTGAAGAAGAACTATTTAATGATACAAAGAACGCTTTAATCATGCAGAGCGTTCATGGTTCTATATAGAACCATTTTCCTTCCTAAATAACCCTCTAAGCTACATCATTTTTAAGAGTGTGTAGAACCTTTTTGAAAATGTTTCTATATGGCACCTAAAAAGGTTCTTCTACTGTTACAAGCTTGACATTGTAACAATAGCAGAACCCTTTTTGGTGCCATAAAAGAAAAACATTTATACTCAAGGTTCTAAATATATGTACATAAATAATTAAATATATATGGTACTCATGGCTGTAAATAGGACCATTCCCTTTACTAAAGAACCCTTGAAGAACCATCTTTGTTAAGAGTGTGTTTAAACACTTCAGCCGTTCTGCTGACACACGTTTTGTTCTGTCTTTGTCCTTTGCTGCTTGTTAGGGAGCACTCCACTCGGCTGCTATAAAAAACTGATTGAGTATTACAAGAAGGGGGAAATATCTTTCCAGTATGTGAAGACATTCAATATGGATGAGTATGTGGGTATGTACTTCATCTTTTGGAGATTTGGGACAGTGCGTCTCCTCTTGTTGCACCATTTATTGTAGCTTATAGTAGCCTGTTTTGAATTTTGAGGTTTTCATAATGCCATGAAAACCAACAGCAGTTTAGCTCTGCCCATTAATACTGAAGTTACAAGGAGTGTTTCAGCTTGGACTGCTTTTAAATAAGGCAATACAGGGCCAAGGCCAATCAAAACAAAGCTCATTTAAACATGTCAGTCTTAAGGGCACAGTAACAAAACCAGCCTGTTTAATTCTATGGGATAGAGAGAGGTTTGAAAACGGTCACTTAAAAATGAATTATGACACATAAAACCACACTGATGTCATAAACTGACCTCTGAAAACACAAGAAACATGTAGGATGGGGCCATGTGAAGAGCACAGAAGGCTAATGTGTCATTTAGAAGAGATTCAGAAGGGGGATTCCAAGTAATGTAGCTATCCAAGATGTTGTCCTATTGTTGGGAGATCCAAGCTTGATCAGTCCAACAGAGTCTAATTGGTCCTGTTTTTAATTTGATTGAAGTTAGTAACGCAGTACATAATCATTGTATATATAGTTTTAGTGGTTTTACATGTGGCTGTACTGTTTTGCTGGTACAACACTCAAGATACTCATCATGTATCATAACAAAGTCTCCAAGTATTTTGCCACATTGTCCCCCCTCCTTGTATCTAAAGCCATATGTGCAATCTCTGTGTAGGATTGCCTAGAGATCACCCTGAAAGTTATCACTCCTTCATGTGGAATAACTTCTTCAAGCACATCGACATCCGGGCCGAGAATGCGCACATACTGGACGGCAATGCTCCAGACCTGCAGCAAGAATGTCAGAGCTTTGAGGATAAGATTAAAGCTGCGGGTGGAATTGATCTCTTCGTTGGCGGTAAGATTGCTGAGTGATCTCTGACCTTCTGTCATTTAGCCAAAGGCGACACTAAGGCGAGTGGCGCTGTCCGGCCAATCCCAAGAATTACTGCTCTAAGATAACACATTCATGGTTCTGCTGCTGTTGCAGGTATTGGACCTGATGGTCACATCGCTTTCAATGAGCCTGGCTCGAGTCTCGTGTCCCGAACCCGGGTGAAGACCTTGGCTATGGACACTATCCTGGCCAACGCTCGTTTCTTTGACGGAGATCTGTCCAAAGTTCCTACCATGGCTCTCACTGTAGGCGTCGGTACAGTGATGGACGCCCGGGAGGTAAACAGACACACGTTAATGTTGTTAGTTTTTGTTATGTCAAATATTTGTTTTGAAAATATTGTTTTGAATCATGAACAAGAGGTAATGTCTCCAATACCAGCTCAGTTATTTAAGTACTTTGCTAATGCGCTCACGTGTGTAGCCGAAATACAATATGAAAACATGATACTTGGAGACATTTTCACAAAACATGGTCTGTGTCAAGACACATCTTTTTTCTGAGGTTTGACAAAAAATTGTAAAATGTAAGACAAAAAATCTAAAAAAAAAAAATCCAATCAGCTACTTTTTATTATATTGTTTATACAGTTAGTATACACAGATTGTTCTTGTTTATAGACTCTGTATAATGGATTTATCTGTCTTTTTTATAATATATACAGATGTCCAGTGTTGTAGACGTGTTTTAGACTATTAAATATTAGGAAAATGTATGGATGCCTATTCCCACCAGCTCGAGTACAAAAAAATGTCTATGTTTTTCCTCCTTTGTTGCGGTAGAATGTCAAAATATTGATGTATTATCTAAAAATACAGGCTTACTCTCTCAAATTAATGACGTAGTATCTCAAAATCACTCATAACGACCTATTTCTCAAAATATTCACTTTGTATCTCTTATTAATGAATAACTTTCCTGAAATGTTGTCCTGTTATGTCAAAAGAGTCAATATGCTAAGAAAATAAGGCAATATTTCAAGATATCAATATTTTGACCTACTGCTTTTCTCCTTTACCTGGTGGCAATGGCCTTCCATAGAAAAGGACATATTGCCCACCCTTAGGTCAGTGATTTCTGTTGCTGGTCAAAACTTCTGTGGACACAATCATAAGAGCCACAGTCACATTTGTATTGTTCTTCAGGCTGTCCTGAATATTTCTGTGTTTTACAAAAGAGGCTTTGAATGCCTCTTTTCTGTTGTCAAACTCTTTTCTCTGTCTCAAGTGACTCTATATCTGTTTGTATGTATGTAGGTGATGATCCTCATCACAGGTGCACACAAAGCGTTTGCCCTGTATAAGGCCATAGAGGAAGGTGTGAACCACATGTGGACCGTCTCAGCGTTCCAGCAGCACCCTCAGACTGTGTTTGTGTGTGATGAGGACGCAACCCAAGAGCTGCGGGTCAAGACGGTTAAATACTTTAAAGGTAATGCTCAGGCTGATGTGTCCAGTGTTGAGCCAGGGAGTCAATGTTGATGTCTACTGATTCCTGTTGAGCTCTCTGATGCACAAATGTTTTAGATGTCTCTGAAGACCTTAGGTCACCATCAGGGGCATTTCACAGGTTTCTGGGCCCTCTCCAAATACAGTCTCCATGACTGGCTTCCTATTTTTTGTTAAAATATGAACTATATGTGGAAAAAGACATAGCCTTCCAACTGTACTTCGTAATAAAGTTGCTTTTCATGTTTCAATGCTTTTCTATCATCCATGGTTAGTAATTTTTAGGGGTGCATCAGAATGATGATATTGGAATCGGTAGATAATTGTTGAAACATTTGACGACGCAGTTGTACACCAAAACAGTGAAACATTTAGAAGACTGATAGATTACTGTGCTAAAATGTCTGCACTTTATTAACTTAACTTCACTTATGATTAGGGTTGCCAGGTTTCCAGTTTTGGAGCAGACAGTCTCTTGTCTCTTTGAGCTCTATTGTCCGGTGGTACTAACGTTAAACTGTCTGGTAGGGTCTCACTCTAAATGTAAATAAAGTGCTCTTGGATCTGCACTGTGGTATAGTCCACCAATCACAAGTGTTCATGTCACCCTTATGGGTGTATACACTGTGTATACCGTACTTGATAGCATGTCAAATTAGTGATAATACAATAAAATAGTAGTTAGTTAACTAAAGTAAAAAAAACATAGAGAATGGAGCTGCGTGCTGATGTGACAAGGAGAGAGTGGTCTCAGTATGTACAGTCACTCCATCACGTTATTTAAGTTTCCTTGGTTATTTCACTGGTTAAAACTTGCTGCTTCTACTGCTTTGTCCTTAAAACATTGTGTTTATATGCTTCTGTAACATTTTTTACATCAGCATTAATTACTCTGAAAATTTACGCAGCTTGTTCTGACACTGTGGTAAATGTGGTAAAAGGTAAAACCAGCTTATTTGGCCCTCCCTCTGTAAAAAATGTAAACAGTTTGGCCGCCACAGTCAAATGAACTTCTGTTGATTTTCTAAGTGAAAATATGTTAACACATCCTCTATAGTGAACACACTTTTGTACGTTAAATGCAAAATTTTTTGTTTATTTGTTGAATTTAACAAAAATTAAAATGAAAAAGGAAACATACAACATGGCCTGTGCAACACAAACACACATTTTCTAAGCCGCTTATCCTTCTGAGTGCTGGAGCCTATCCCAAAGCTTATTGGGCAGACGGCTGTATATTTGCATATCTAACTAAATTTTCTTTTATATTCTAAAGCAGATATTAATATACTGGTGGCTTGTAGCTTTAAAAGTAGTAATTCATACTGTTAATTCACATTTTACATGGTGCAATTTTTTTTTTTGCTGCAGCTGAAATCTGGTAACCTGTGAAGAGCGTTACATTTCTCCATAATGTTAATCCAGGTGCATTTAGTATCAATTTCTACATTTTATACATGTTTATGTATCAGCATCGGAATGTACATTGAAAAATACTGCATATGAAGCATCAGCCCAAAATTCCCATATTGGTGCATTCAAATCTAGTGATGGTGTGGACTGCACTGTTTGGAGGGGGAGAAGGAGCAGAGGTGAAGAAGGCTTCTTAATACTTATTATGGGTGCAAAATTCAGTCATAACATCTCTATGTTATATGCACTCTATGACAATATGCACTTAGTTACAGCACTTATTGCACAGAAATTGTACACCAAAGCAAACGTTTTTAGTCCAGGCCTCGTTGTGGGTTCTGGGGTGGTCAGTTTTTCCACAGATAATATGCCTCTGGTCACAAAATAAAGTGTGATAGAATGGGTGATAGAAGAACACCTTTGGGCTGCACATTACACTGTTTGAAATTATAAGCTGTTTTTGTTGGTTAACGTAATGAGCTAAGACTAGAAACAAGATCCAGCTGTGTTTTATATCTTATTCTTTATATTTATTCTACAGGAATGATGCACGTTCACAATAAGCTGGTGGAGGAACCATAGTTTCAGATGCTGAAATGAGGAAGATGGAAGATGGTTTGGCATTTTATCTCAAAGATCACATCAGAAAGGCTGGTTGAAATGACCAGTTCTCTCTTTTGTCCTTGATTAAGAGTTTTACATTCTATTTTGTATTTAAAATACTACATTTTAATAAAAAAAAAATACTGTGGAGTAAAAGATCATTTCTAATGCCCCTCCCAGTGACAACAATGTAAAAGTTTTAAATGATTCAAATAAGTGAAAAAAAATGTTAATGGAATTTGAATTTAATTCCTAACAGTTTGGACACCAAATGCTGTTAAATGTTACAACTATGTGCATTAACACCGAGTGTTAATATGTAGTGTGGTTTGTGAATGAGTAACCTTCTTTCCCTCGTCTCATTAAACTCTTTGTTTTGTCATTGGGTCGACTGAACATCCTTATGGGAAAGTTTTTATTTTATTTCTGTGGTTACTCAAACAAAGTGAGTTGGTGAGAGAGCTTCTGTGGTTTTCTTTGAATCTGACACTCACAGATAGAGGCCGGGGTCACTTGTGCCTCACTGGGTTAAAGTCAGTTCCCTGTTCCCACATTCAAAAAGTACACATCCTGAAACAAGCTATTCAGTTCTATAATTCATTTCATTTCAACTGACAACCAGATTATTTATGACAGAATGTTTGTAACATCAGCTCAGTTTGGAAAAAAGAAACTACTGTTGGCTTGTATTTTATCTAGACTCATCAGAATGGTGAGACTTTAGTCAGCATAACTGCTTCCCTCATTGCCTGAACTGTTCCACATTTGTACTTGATTTCAGATCTACAGGGCAGCTCTTTCCCTAAACTACAAGACATGGGAAAATAAATAAATAAATAAATAAATAAATGTGTGCTAATAAATCGATACCATCATCATTTATTTTATATATATATATATATATATATATATATATATATATATATATATAGTATATATTTAGAAATGGTGATGGTATTGATTTATTAATATTGTTAGATTACAGCAAAAATTCTACCATTGCAGTGCCAACTGCTGTCCCAAAAATTTGAAGCCATGAAAATAATTTCAACAGAATTAACTACAGGACAATGACAAATATGTATTTTTTGTTATATTCCAAAATGAATCAATAAAAACTGTGATCATTCCTTTTTTTATTTTGCTGTATAGATTTTTAGTTATGTTGTAAATTAAAAACAGCATGTCCTAGTAGTGACTACAAAATAATCTATTATTTTATAACTTTTTTCCTAGTTTTTAAAACTAAAATGCCTTTGTCTGTCCCCTTAAAAATATCAATATAATTTTATATTCATGATAAATCTTATCTCAAGATAAGATCAGTGTTTCAGCCTTACTTTGATGATAAATTTTGGCCTAAGATGTTTTTTGTAGAATGTAGGTATATACAGATATGTTTTAAGAAACCAGATATTTCATTTTACTGGCAAAAATGATACTAATATCATCTCAGGTTATAGATATTATTCCAGATTTTTGTATTTTTCTAGTTGTATATATGCCTGTAGATAGGATTTTTATATTTATTTTTTCTGTTATATTGTTTTCACCCTTATTACTATTACTGTCCTGTGTTGTGTGATAGCTACTGGCTGCTAAATTTCCTTTGGGATTAAGAAAGTATCTATCTATCTAAAAAAAGAGAATTTAAAAATAATAAATAAATCAAATAATTGCTGAGATGTAAACAAAGTCATTCAGAGTGGTTTGACATGAAATTCTCCATTCTAGACAGGAACCTGGGGTTGTGATGTGTACAACACAAATATAGTCACTTTATTTACTATCTAAAATGACCAGTAAACCCACATGTCATTTGAGGTTTTACATGTAATACTGGAAAAATTGTGATAAATCTAAAAATGTAAGTTTTCTTTCATGACTATCTGCCTCAAAACACCTTGCGTACGTCTCCACCTTGAAGGGTGAAAAAAAATACATTTAAGAACAAAATCTCCTCTCAAATCTATCATAAAGGCACCAGGCACTGTATTCTTAATTACTGAATGTAATAACTTTCTGTGACAGAGTTTTTAAAGGCATTAAACTTTTCAGACGTCTGGTTCCCATCACCACCACTGTGGACAATTCTGACTCAGTAAGTTTCTCTAGAACGGAGCATTTCACACCAAACCACTCTGAATGACTTTGATTACATCTGAACCGTTTAGTTATGCAGAAAAGTTGAAACGTAAGTGGAATCCCCCTTTAAACTCCACTGCTCATCAGTTTAGAATGAGGAACTGTTGTTGAGTAAATCAGGATACACTTTATACTTGAATTAGAACTTATTTATGAGTTATTATCCCACCACAGTGGTCGAACAACTGATAATATAATGTAATACAACACAGATCTATACATAGATCCATTTCTTAAATGGTTAATGTGTTTAAACATGTCACGCTTAAATGGAGAATGTGCTGTATGTGAGCTCTAGATAGGACCTTTTTGAAAAGGGTTCTATGTAGCACCAAAAGGGTTCTACTATTGTCACAAGCTTGTCATTAGGGCTGAACGATTTGGGGAAAATATCTGATTGTGATTCTTTCTAAATCAATATTCCGCTTTGCAATTATTTTCTATAAATGAATTTTCAGGCCTGTTTTTTTGGCCAAGAAGGCCAGAGTACCCACTTTTTACTGACATGAAGTTTGCACACTCAGTGTGTCAGACTACCTGTAAGTTGTGATGGTTGTGATGTCACATATACAAAATTTCACTCTTAAAAAAGATAGTTCTTCAAGAGTTCTTTAGGAAAGAAAATGGTTCTATATAGAACCATGAACACTCAAAGAACCCTTTGCTTGATCATAAAGCTTGTAACCATAGAAGAACTCGTCAAACTTTTAAGAAAGGCTCTATATAGAACCATATACAGCACATTCTCCACCAATTTAAAGAATCCTTTCACGATGCAAAGAACCCTTTAATCATGCAAAGTGTTCTTTGAGGGTTCATGGTTCTTCATAGAACCATTTTCTTTATTAAAGAACCCTTGAAGAACCATCTCTTTGTGATTAGTTGCTTCTGATAGATCTAACTCATCCACAGGCAGTTCACAAGCTCTGTGTTATTAGGTTTAAAATTTATACTATTACTACTGTTATTAATTTAATAATAATGCATTCCATGATAAAAACTGCAGCTCTTGCCTTTTTGGAAATTAAAATTTCGATATACAAATGATTAATCACTCAGAGTCTACTTGACATTGTAACAACAGCAGAACCCTTTCTGGTCCTGTGTAGAACCATTATTAGAAATGGTCTATATATATTACAGGGGTGCCCAATCCTGGTCCTGGAGATCTACCACACTGGAGAATTCATATCCAACACACATGGCTCTAATATTCAGATACCCCTGTAGGCCTTCAGTACGTGGATCAGGTGTTCTAGATTAGGGTTAAAGCTAAACCCTGCAGGGTGGTAGATCTCCAGGACCAGGATTGAGCACCTCTGTTCTATGTCTATAGAACCATATACAACACATACTGCATCAACCTAAAGCACCATTTCACCATGCAGAAAAACATTAGAGCACGCAAATGGTTCTATATAGTTCTCATGGTTCTAAACAGAATCATTGCCTTTACTAAGAGACCCTTGAAGAACCGAGTGTGCAGTCTAGGTGTATGGGTTATGTAATAACCCCGGGTTTAATCTTTGTACCGAGTTGTAAAGGCGCTGAGTGAGCTGGCCTGGGTGGCTGAAGGGAGAGGAGCAGACTGAGCATGAGCAGTGGGGCCATGGCTACAGGGCTTTAGCTCCACTTAAGCACAACACAGCGGCAGCGGCGGCTCTCTAAACGGAGAAAAACACATTAAACCCGGACCGCGGAGGTACAACACTACACGGCTGCTTACTTAGAGAGCTGTTCTAGCTAAATACTCATATGAATTGAGTGGTCGGCCAAGACGTACCAGAGGATGGCTGAGCAAAGAAACGGATATCGACAGGTAAGGGCCAACTCGGCGAGCTAGTTAGCTTAGCTTGTTTGTCTTAGTAGATTTGATTAAAGTGTCCCGATTGAGAAGCAAGACAAGGTGTCGTTTTGTTAAACAGAGCATTATAACGTTACTTTACACTAAATGAGCTTATGAGGACACGTATTAGTCTGTATTTCCACTGACTGACATCGACACCTAGACGAGGCTGAAGTTGGCTTTCTACTCGCCAGCTTGTCGTTCGAATTTTCCCGTTCCACCTTAAATGGTGCCGCAGTTCCATTATGGGGCCTCAGACGGCAGAATGTAACTCCCGCACCATTTAAGGTGGAACGGAAAATTCGAAAAAGAAGCTGACTTAGGCTTCGTGACACATAGCAAGCTAATTAGCTAGCTGTTTAGCTAACGTTTTACTGTTTCGCTTTACAACATCCGCGGCTTTCTTTGACGAGTTAATCCGTTTGTTTTTATTTGATACGTAACGTTTCCATACAGTGGTAACGAAAACCGTAAGGATTGACTGTTAGCAGGCGGAAGTGCAGGGTTTTTGAGACAGTCGCTTCAGTGTTACTCTTAGGCCTGGTTATACAAATCCAGCTAACTGCTTGTCTGCTTTTCTTCTTGCCTACTATCCAGTACTACTACACTCCTAAAATGGTTCTTCAAGGGTTCTTTAGCAAAGGCAATGGATATAAAATATTAGAACCATTCACACGCATAAGTGTTCTTTGCATGGTGAAAAGGTTCTTTAGAAAGATGGAGAATGTGTTGTATACGGTTCAATATAATACCAAAAAAGGGTTCCTCTAGCAATAGAAGAACCCTTTGTCAAAAAATGTTCTATTTAGAACCGTATACAGCTTTCTGAAGAACCATCTTTTTTTTTTAAGAGTGTAGCTTTTTGGTAAATAAGCACAAAACAAATGTGACTAAAATGAAGTGTGAGTATTCATGGTAAATACTCTATACTGTAATGGCAGGTAGTCAAGGTTAGGGTCTTTAAAGGGTCCATCTGATGGAAAAACGTCCTTTTTTCAGTAAGGGGTTTATGCAGTGTGTAAAAACACACTGCATCAGCTCTCTTTGACAATTAATCTTGTCCCTAATCTTGTCCCTATCTTTTATATAAAAATGGGCCCTTTAAATACTCTCAGCTCCCTGAGATCACAGCGGGGTATTCAGTATGGAAATGTTCATATTAGCTGCTCATTTGAATGAATTGTTTTTGTGATGTCATGAAAACCACCACATGTACTTACTACTGTTCAGCCTGCAGCAGTTTAGCCCCGCCCATTTACTTTACAGTAAACAGCAAAAGTTTCAGCCCAAACTGGTTTTTGAATGAGAATCACAACAGTGATAATTTACATATCGGTGCTGTTGGAAGAAAATATTGTATCTCCGTTTTTGGTGTTTTTCAGTTTTTGACATCATCTGATAAGACCTGTTGCACATTGTGTGTAAATTTCATGAAGAATAGACCAAAAGAAATCAAAAATGACTTGGGCGGGGTTCCTTCTCCTGTAAAGTTATCATTTTGGAGATACAAGGTTTTCTTCCGACAACAGCGATATACTGAAAAAAAATATAAATCAGTCTTAAAGGAACAGTAACAATATCTGCCTGTTTAAATCTAAGGGATTAAGAAATGTTGGAAAATAGTCATGTAAAGATGAAATATATACATATTGTGTGTGTGTGTGTGTGTGTGTGTGTGTGTGTGTGTGTGTGTGTAAAATCATGCCAATGTCTGATTGAACCTCAGGGGAAAAAAATTAAAATACAAAATATATGTAGTTTATAGTTTGTGGGCCCTTTTAATAATTTTGGTTGTTAGCCCCGCTGTAAAGGAATGTGGTGTTTAAGCGATCTCACTACCCCCAAACAACGTTTGAAGGAGGTCTGGGCGATAGAGTGATGGAATCAGATATCCTGACGGTGATGTGTAAAAGGCAATAATCGCCATTTCGGTAAAAGAACTGAGAGAGAGTTAGAGAGGACTAATTTACCGTTCAACAGCTTGAAAAATACGTTGGGAAAATGTGATTCACGTTTGGTGTGCAGCCTCGCCCAGCAGTAGTCAGTTTCAGAGAGAGAGAAAGAGAAACTGCCGGTGTTGTTTCTCTCTGCTACAGACTGTAATGCTAGCTTTACTGCGCGGATTCCCCTTAATTTACCTTACATGAATAAAGGTGAAAATTAATGCTGACGTGCTTTGGAACTTCAGTTTGCCTCGAAGTGAATCACCGCTGTAAAAAACGAGCTAAAATGACAAAGTTTGGGTAGAGCGGCTAAGTTATCTCTTACCTTGAGATGAAGTTAATCTGATTCTCGTCTATGACGGTTTTCTCAGAAAAAGGTTATAAATGATATTAAATAAAATGTACACATTTTATCTTCTTTTATGCTTAAAACATTGAGTAATAATGGCCTTTAAACTCACCATTGTCTGCTGTGTGTGCTGTACTGAGTAAAATGTGCAGTATTTTCTGTGCCGTTTAAGTGTCACATTGGTTGGCTGAATTACGAAACGCTGCTGGTTTTGTGGGACGTTTTTCTTAAAGAATGTGGAAGGTCTATTTTCAGCATGGTGTTTTCTGTTGTTTCATTTGCAGTTGACCAATGAGGAGGAGACACCTGAGGTGCCCCAGGAGTCAAGTGATGCTCCCCCACCATACAACAGCATTGCGGAAGATTCAGGTAAAAGCCAGACACCCACGTCAACACAGTGACACAAGTAGCAGTTTTTGCCAGTTTCACAGTACGAATCAAGGCTTAGTGCTGTCCTTTTATGTCTGTTATACTGTGGGCCAGCATCCCAGAGCCACATTAAGCCTAATCCAAGACTTAAAAGAATATACAATGAGGATTCACCAGTGACTCTGCAGTTTAGTTGGAGACTAGGCCTAATCTACTTCTGGGAAACCTCCTCCTTTGTTACTGTAACAGCCTCTACTCTTCTGAGAAGGCTGGACACCAGATGTTGGAACATTGCTGTGAGGGTTTGATTGTTTTCAGCCACAAGAGCAGTAGTAAGTTCAGGTACTGATGTTGGATGATTAGTTCTGGATAACAAACTCTTCCCAAAGGAGCTCCATTACTCCAAAGAACACAGCTTCACTGCTCCACAGCCCAGTGCTGGGGGGCTTTCTATAGCCCTCTAGTTGACACTTGGTGTTGGGCCTGTTGACCTTTTGCTCATGTATGGCTGCTCCAGCCTGTTGAATTCTGTTGGCAATGCCAATTTTTAGATTAGTTTGGACATGTCTGTCGGGAAAGTTGTGAAACGTTTAATTTGATTATCAGTATTTTACACATATACTTACTTTAACAGCTTTAGCCTTCGACCATCAGATGCTGTTGAGATCAACTGATGTTATCTTTACTGTTACAGCTTTCTTTGATTACAAAGAAGAGGGGAATTACCCCAAACCCCCTTCATACAATGTTGCCACGTCTTTACCATCATATGACGAGGCAGAGCGGACCAAGGCTGAGTCCTCTGTTCCTCTTGTGACACCAAGGGTGAGGATGTATTATCTCTGTTTTTATGTAACCGCTTTTGTGCCAGAGACCTTTTCACACTCACGTATAATCCTTTCAAACCCTGTTCCCTGACAGGACGAGGATTTTGTTTCCAGAGAGGACTTTGACGATGTTGACCAACTGCGAGTCGGGAACGATGGCATATTCATGCTGACATTTTTCAGTAAGAGTCTGAATACTGTGTTTATACCTGATACCTCATAATCAGTCATAATAAGTTTGGCTGTTACGTTAGAAATTGAGAAATCTACAGATTACCTTGGTGTGTAATCAAGTAATCAGTTTTTGAAAAGGGCCAACCAATAAAAATGTAATTATCTAAATGATAACAGAGCAGGCAGAGCCTTTCAGGGATTCAAAATTTGACATATTTTGTGGGATAAAAGCCTTTAGAAGTACTTAATAAAAATATTTATAACTCTGTGGTGAAAAATGCATATGCATGGATTTATTCATCAGGCTTTTGTCCTACTGTAAGAGAGAACCATAAGAGAATTTGACATATGCATTATATTCCACTGTCAGCTAATTGTTGCTGGTTCATTGAGAAGGTAAAATTAAAAGGAATATTTTTAAACCAACATAGTCAAGTACATTTCACAGCCCGAATAGAAATGAATAATTCTGTTGCTCAAGGAGTTTTTAAAGATTGATATCAGCAGGCAAATGGATGATCCATTGTGATCTTTTATTTCCAGTGGCTTTTCTTTTCAACTGGATTGGCTTCTTCTTGTCCTTCTGCCTTACTACTTCGGCAGCAGGGCGCTATGGAGCCGTCTCTGGGTTTGGGCTGTCCTTGGTTAAGTGGGTCCTGATTGTCAGGGTAAGATTATTACACATTTGAAGAATTTATTCTTGGAGTTTGTCCTTTTTTAGTATATAGGAAGGCTTGTCTCAATTCATCAGACAATATATGATCCTATTGTATTCCTACAAAGTGTAATGATCACCATTACATGGTAGAGTGAATATCCTTTTTAAATCAATTGTGTCTACTGTGTAACAGGAACTGGTCCAAAGTTTTGAGAAATGTGGTCCAGAATAGCGGTGGTAATTGGCAGATCGCATTAAAATTGACCTTTCCATGCTACGGCCATAAATCTGTTCTTACTGCTGTGAGGATGGACAAGCTTGACAGATCGTTGGCAAAAATCCCGTTCACCCTGAGGAGAACCTGTAGTGAAAAAATATTTACATTTATTGCGTAATTTGAAATGTTTATTTTATATAGGTGTAAAAGGTCATATTGTTTTTATGGGTATAAATAAAATTATACTTTTTTATGATTTTGAGCCGTGTGCTACAATTTCTCATTAGGTAGAATGGAGGTAGAATGGGATTTTTGTCAGTGTCCGATAGAGCTTGTCCTTAAAGAAGACTTTTTTGAATATATCATTGATTCGATGAGAGATGTAAAGCTGTAGATTCGTGTACATTGTGTGCATTATGTTGCATTATTTGAAATACATTTTAAGCCTTGTAATTGTATTATGAGTAACTTATTTTGTTTATTTGTATTAAAACAGTTTTCCACATACTTTCCTGGATATTTCGATGGGCAGTACTGGCTGTGGTGGGTTTTTCTTGTCGTAGGTATGTATGTGTTTGTAAATGTACATTAATTGGGAAGAAATTCTTTTTATCCTTTCTGTCCAGATCAGGCGTAGATGTAGGGGGCAATACTAAGCGTTAATCTTTTTTCTAAACAGGGTTCCTGCTGTTCTTCAGAGGATTTGTTAATTACTCAAGAGTGCGCAACATGGCCGATCATTCCTTCTCCACTCTTCCTCGGACCAGAGTGCTTTTTATCTATTAAAGGTAAAATTTTAAATTTATAAAAAAATTGTAAAAATTTATGACATTACGTGGTTTAAAAAAAAAAAGGAAAATATTTATACTGTACTGTGCAAAAGTCTTAAGCACCAGATAAAATGATATTAAAAAACAAGACATCTACCTGGGCAGTAAGATTTTTTTTTGGGTCATAAAACACTAATATTAGAGTAACTACAAACATTAATAAAACAAGTAGTGATTTTATTTAAGTCACTGTTTTTTTTAACCATTTCTAAATCTTTCCTTTAAGAATCAGAATCAGATTTATTGGCCAGTTGGGGTCCAGCTGTAGATGTCAAGATATTGGGTACTTTTTTTGAAAACAAGAAATTCTTGTTACTTTTTACTGCATTAATATTTGTTGTGAATTATTTTGCATTATATTTGTATTATATTAGTTATTAGTTATACAGTTATCAAGATAAACCCATGATAAATTGTTCTAAACAGTTTGTTCAGGTGCCTAAGATTTCTGCATGGTACTGTATGTATTTGTAAAACTGTATGTATGGATGGATATTTTATAATTATATTTTGAATTACTTTCTCAAATGACAGTCGAATAGCTACTTAACTGGACACTGGATTTAAGAGGGAATTCCACCAGTTTTTCAAAGTGTGTATGTAATTCAGTCACTGAGATGTAAACAAAGTCATTCAAAAAGGGGTTTGATGTGACTCAGATTTCTTTACAGTGGTGCTGATGGGAACCAGGGATCACCATGTTTACATAACAAATATGGCCATTTTATTTACTATCCAAAATGACCAGTGAGCCTACACGTGAGTTTTTATGTGTAATGTTGATGATGGTAAAATGGTGGTAAATCTGAATAAAATTAAGTTTTCTCTGGGTACTATTTTTAGAACTCCATGCGTGTATCTCTCCACCACGAATGGAAGACCAGAATTTCATCCCAAAACAATGTTTCAGGCATCATGCAGTTTATTGATAACCATTTCGTATAATAACTTTCTGTTAGGTAGCTTTTAGAGGCATTACGTGCTTCAGGCGTTTGGTTCCTCTCACCACCACTGTGAACAATTCTGATGTGCTAAGTTCTAGAACAAGTGAGTACATAGAACAGCTCTGAATGACTTTGTTTACATATTTACGACTGAATTTTGGAGCAGATTTGAAAAGTCGGTGGAATTCCCTGATTTCCCTGCAGACTTACAGTGATTTATCTCTTAATTGCTCTCTTTTAATCAGATGCTCTGTTTCTGTACAGAATTTGCACCTCAGGACTATTACATCATGAACAAAATGGCAAAACTCAAGCTTCAAATCTTCAGGACTTAAAAAAGCAGAGCAAAGAAGAATATGGCCGCTTTAAAAGTCTACACACTGCTATTAAATGATTAAACGTTTAGGTACGTTTCTGTACATTTACAAGGATGTTAATAGTCCTCTGATCATGTATTTATCAGCAACTAATATTCAGTGCAATCTACCATGGCAACATTAATGCATTGTCTTCTGCTAATATTTCTTAAGTAGCACACACCAAACGTCATAATGATCAGTCATAAATTAAGACACTTAATTCCTTGCAAAATTCATAGTTTACCCAGCTGATATCTTGGGTGATGCAATGGGCCTGTTAGTTTTTCTCATAAATAGTGCTGGGGAAATTTTAGTTTTACTTTGTGAGTAAGTATTGTAACCAAACGTTTTTTTTTTGTGTGAAATACAAAGAGTAGATGTATTAGGAACCAGACAATATCAGTTGTTACTTACACATGCACTTTGACGATACATTGAAGGTAGAGAAACAGCCAATTTTAAAGTCAGGGAAATATTAGGCCTTATGCAAAAATCTGAATGGTAAGTCTTTCTCTAATGGGTGTGATTATATAAACAAAGCTTTTGCTGTTATTATGATTATTAATATTATGATTATTATTATTACTATTATTAGGACCAAAAAATCAGGACAAGATGCAAAGCGTTTCAGTGTCATGCAGTCTGATTTAGCATGCAGTGAAACACCTGAACATGTAAATTTATCTCTTCAGTGATCTGTGTTGAACAGCAGTTCAAGATGCCAAAGTAGCTGTAGTTAAACCACTGACTCGTTGATTTTTCTTAATAAAGGTTTTAGTGAACGGCATGTTAATGAAATAGCTCTGCACAATGTGATATATTGTGATTTGTATGTTTACACTTGTGCAAAGTAACTTTTAATAAAGATTGCTTCTATAGTGAGCTTACATGGTTTGTGGTTCTCTGGGAAGGAACTCCTTTATGTTTTGGTGTATTTGCTCATTGTACAAGCCTCTTGAATATAAGTTTCAAGACATAAACTGATGCCAATTATTTCCTTTACACTTTTACCACCAGTGTAAATGTGCAGTACATGGTCTGCAGATGTTTCCTCTCATGCAGCTATATGAGTCTTGCTCAGTTATTCGTTCAGAACAGTTCTCATGCATTTCTGATTTAAAGGTTCTGTGTTATTTGTATATACGCTAGAATAATAAGTATTAAGTACATTTGTAATTACATAACTAAGTAAATACTTCACAGGGATGGGAAATACTTAACTGTACTTCATAATCCTTTACCAGCTTAAGTATTTTTGTTACTACTAAGTATTACTTTGTAAGATTTGTACTTTACTAGGTATTATTGAAACTAAATACTTTTAGTTTTAAAGAAAACATACTTTTTACTCTGTATATTTTCATTTAGATCTTCAAAATACATACTGGAAAACTCAAAGACCCAGTTCTCTCAGGTTTTTTGACAGTTGAGTTCCTATGCATTTTAATTAAACCGTTCAATCAAATTCATATAATTGTAAAATGAAACTGCCCATAACTACGCTAATTTATCTTTGTGTAAGGACTCATTAGTTGCTGTACCACTTTAAACATTTACGTTTTATTTTATATACTGAAATTTTATTTACTGGAGTTTTATGTACTTAAAGTTTAAAGGTAGATACTTTTTCATTCAAGTATTTTTCTACACTTTTAATTGAATAAGGTTTTGACACAGTACCTGTACTTGCACTTGCAGTTTTTCTGTACTTTTTCACCCCTAATAATTTATAATAGATAGCAAAACATCACAAAAATGATATCAGTCTATAGAGAGGGTTTATTATATTTCATCAAGTCTGGAACAACAGTGCAGGTTTATAAGAACAAAGACTTAAACGTGTGTAAACTGGAGTTAAAATAGAGGTAAAAACTTTCTCCCCATCACAGTAAATACAAGTAAATCATTTTCAGTGAGGTTTAGCTTGGCATACATTCACAATTCTGTAAGCAGCATATCATGTGTCTGTCTGTAATAGCTCGCTATTTCAGTCTGAGGTTTGATAATAAATACGCCTTAAAAGTTTTGGAACGACAATGTTAATATGATCAAGGAGAAACTGCACTAAAGACGGTGTCCACATGCCTTTGGAATGCTGTAAGTGTAGTAAGTGAAGTGCTCTGTGTGTGTTGCGAGACTGAAGTTAGCTGGGTTCATGTACTTGTACAGTAAACCCTGTACTGGCACTGCTACTCATTAGCCAGTGAGTGTCGGGCCTCAGTCTTTCGTTTGGGCCAGCTGTCGAGGGAGGAAGAAAATGGCCTTCTGTCCGATGTGAGTCCTGGAGCCGTTTTTCGGTTTTCCATTCTTTTTTATTCCCACGTACCAGTTTGGGCCATGCTTCTGTGAGCGGTACGTGTTGTAGTGGTTCTCCTCTATTTTCTCCAAGAAGTAACTTTCATCTGTTACTGACAACTGCAAATGCAGACAGACGATAAAGACAGGCGATAAAGCGTCTGTTACAGTGGTAAAGTGGTTACTCTATGTAGTAGATACTCCACTCACTGAGCCATACAGTGTGCCATCCTCACTCATAGAGAGGAAACGTCCAGCCTCTATTCCCTCAATGACCACCACTCCAGGACTCACAGCTTTAATCCGCAATACACCTTTTAAAAAGACAAACACAGAAATAACAGAACAAAAAAATAACATCGATTATTCAGCTTCAGCTTATGAAACTATATACTAGTTTGATGTAGTATATAAACTCTGTTAGTGCTAAAATGTACAGTTGACTCTCCATTCCATACAGTCCATGGAAAGTCAGCTAAAAAAACAGCCTGTTTTGGATTGAATTTGGATGGCGTCACATATGTCCACCTATATGGTCTACAGCAGTTTAGCTCCACTCATTCACACTTACAAGAATATAAGGAGTGTCCATATAACTTACAGGTTATAAGATGTGTTTGTAATCAAAGTCATTCAGAGTGGTTTGGTGTGAACTGCTCCACTCTAGGGAAAAGTACTGAGTCAGAATTGTTCAGAGTGGTGGTGACCGGATTGAAGAGTTCTGAAGTCTGAAGAGTTCACAGCCTCTAAAAGCTCCATCACAGTATTGTTTCACAATACTTTTGTGATGTTTTGGCCTAAAACGTCTTGGTAAACTATTTATCGTGATCCATTTGTGGCAGAGGGGTAAGTGCAGAGCGTTGTGAGGCAAAATAGCTCCCCAGAAAGATTTTCCATTATTTTACCATCATTAACATTACATACAAAACTCATAAGACATGCGCAGGTTCACTGATGCTTTTGGATAATAAATAAAATGCCTATATACACCAACCAGACACTTCATGAAGTACACCTCCTTGTTTCTACACTCACTGTCCATTTGATCGGCTCCACTTGCTATATAGGTGCACTTTATAGTTCTACAATTACAGACTGTAGACCATCTGTTTCTCTGCGTACTTTGTTAGCCCCCTTTACCCTGTTCTTCAGTGGACAAGACCCCCACAGTGCAGGTCTTAGTTGGGTGGTGGATCATTCTCAGCACTGCAGCAACACTAACACTGGTGGTGGTGTGTTAGTGTGTGTTGAGCTGGTATGAGTGGATCAGACACAGCAGTGCTGCTGGAGTTTTTAAACACTGTGTCCACTCACTTTTCACTCTATTAGACACTCCTACCTTGTTGGTCGACCATGTAGATGTAGAGATCAGTCAGAGATGATAGCTCATCTGCTGCTGCACAGTTTGTGTTAGTCATGCTCTAGTCCAGGCATGCTGAACTGGGGACTTTCCACGCCAAAGTGCTGCAGAGATTAGTGTTAAACCCTCATCTAACGCTCTGAATTCAGCTGAATCAGGTGTATTTAATGAGGCAGTGTGCTGACGTTTGCAGTGTTTTGGACTGCAAGGACTGGAGCCTGACGCATGTGCTCTAGTCCTTCGTCAGTGGTCAGAGGACGCCGTTGGCTGGTTGTCTTTGGTTGGTGAACTATTCTCAGTCCAGCAGTGACACTGAGGTGTTTAAAATCTCCAGCAGCACTGCTGTGTCTGATCCACTCAGACCAGCACAACACACACTAACACACCACCACCACCACCACATCAGTGCTGAGAATGATCCACCACCCATACCTGCTCTGTGGTGGTCCTGTTGGTGTTCTATTGAAGAACAGGGCAAAAGGGGGCTAACAAAGTATGCAGAGAAACAGATGGACTACAGTCTGCAATTGTAGAACTACAAAGTGCTCCTATATAGTAAGTGGAGCTGATAAAATAGACAGTGGGCGGCCCTAATAAAGTGGGCGGTCAGTTTATGTGTTGTAGACATGGCGACGCCTGGTTCCTATCACCACTACTGTAAAGAAATCTGTGAACCATTTCACCCTAGACCACTCTGTTTACATCTCAAGGAAAGAATTATTCAGAAATTTCGAAAAAATCGGTGGAATTCCCCTTTAAGTTTCCATGTATGGACTGTATGGATCGGGGAGTGACATTATTGTGGATTAAATGATTTGGTGTGACTAAATATGTCCACGAATATGCTGAATAATCTAATATTCATTATTAAAACAACCTCATAGTGAGAGATATTAGCTGTATCGCCCTTATTAGCACTTTGCAGTGCAGGGCAGTGCAGTACTTTAGCCAGTGTTCACTGCTAACAGCTAACCTGTGGCACTGTATCACACTAAAGCACATTTCACAGGTGAGCGGCTGGTCTTGGAGGGTTTATCTTATCTTACTGTGGGGGTCGTTCTCATCCCTGGTTCCTCCCACTGCTCCGTCGGGGAGAATGAGCAGCTGGTACCCTCCGTTCATGCAGTGCAGGTGGGTGAGTTTCCTGTAGTCCGCTATGCTGGGGTGGGCGTCCTCGGGCTGCGGAGAGAGCTGCGTGATTTCTGCCTCCATCAGCTCCGCAGGAGAGGCTTCAGCGTGCAGGTTGATCGGATGTGGCCGAGGGCAAACGGAAATGAGGTGTGCACTCCCCTCTCACCGCCCCCCGGGCTGGTGGCGCTCGCTGAGCCGTGCTCTGATAGTGGTCCCTGCCAGTGCACTTTGAACAGCGTCGTTATGTGGCTTAGCAAGGCAGCAGAGTCAGTGGCGCCTGATCTGTGCTCAGTTCAGCTGTCACGGCTTTAGTGAACACTGTGTGGAGAAGAACAGACCACCAGGTACAGAAGGATGGACCAGAATAAACGACCTGCTGCTTTACCTTCGTTTCAGATAGACTTGTATCTTGAAGGGAGACCACCCTGCTAGAAAATCCAGCACAGCTGCTCACCAGACAGGCCTATGTTTTGTTTTGGTCAGCAGCAGTGGAAGCTGATGTGCTGGTCAGCATCAAAACCAGTATATTGTGGTGTTGGTGTAGGATGACATTGCGCTTTAAAGGCGAACGCTGTTTTGCTGAACAGGCAGAGAGGAATAGCAGGCAGGTCACTTCTACCCGCACACAGACCCACACCAGCTACCCAACATCCCAAATTACACAACACATCTGCACATCATTAAGCCAACAACTTATTTACAATGAAGTCTCTCCTACCACGAACACAGCACCTCCCGAGAGCCTCCGTGCGTGGCCGCTCTGCATGGCCAGCATGCTGTGTTTTGGTGCTGGGATGTTTTTCAGCCAGCAAGGTCATGGTCAGACCAGCATAAACCAGCTGGAACCATCATGGAATTCATGCTGGTCTATGGTGTTTTTTTTCCGGCAGGGCATTACTTTGTTTAGTGGTGATTATTGTTATAAAAACCTTGCACGTTACACCAGTTCATCATCTTAGCTACCTGTAAATTTTGTGTGTGTAATAATACTTCAATATGTCTAATACACCATGTGCATCACAAAGTTTTTTTTGTTGTTAGGATTTGATAGGCTGGAACAGGTAGGTAAACAAACAAACAAACAAACAAACAAACAACAGAACCAGTAGAGTCAAAATAAATGTATCATACTTTTTAGTTTATTGGTTCAAATACTTTAACTCGGGCCCAGTTGTGCTCTCTTTATCATGAAACATGCAGTTGGTCAGTGATCTTTAAAGAGAAACTCCACTGGTTTTTCACCATCTCTACACAGTTCAGTTGCTGAGATGGAAAGTCGTTCAGAGCGGTTGATGCTGCCTTCCAGAGAAATGTATCAACTCAGATTTGTTTACAGTGGTGGTGACAGGAACCAGGGGCTGTCTGCAGTGCAAATAAGCCATTTTATTTACTGTCCAAAACATCCAGTGAACCTTCATGTGTGTTTTTCTATGTAAAGATGATAAATAAATCAGTAAACATAAAAATCTGGGCAGGAAAAAAAGGTTTCTTAAGGGACTATTTTGCCTTATAACATCCTGTGTGTACCCCTCTCTAATAATAACTGTTTAAAATATATATCATTTAGACCCCAAACCTTTCAAAATTGTCATTACACAATGTCTCAGGCATCAGGCAAAAATTTCGTAACCATTTTGTATAATAACTGTCTGTGAGGGAGCTTTTAAAGGTGGATTTCTGGTTCCTATCACCACCACTCTAGTTGGCTTTGTTTACATCTTAACCATGTAATTATGCTGAAAATTTGAAACAATTGGTGGAATTCCCTTTAATTACCGACAATGCCTTCAACATGCTCAGAGAAGACGATAAATACTGGCATATTGCCCAACCCTGTTTTGTAGTAATGTATTCTGATGCTTGCACCAAGAAAAAAAATCCTTGTTCATCTTGTACTCGGCGAATAAAAACGTTTTAAACAAGTGTAAGCAATTTAAAACATGTTTACAGTACATAAACACTTCAGCGTTTTCCAGGGAACAGTTACTGTTTGTATTTGCAGTCTGTTTTTAGACTGTTGACTGTTGCCGTTAAAAGTAGCCACATTTCAGAGAAACTATATTACATACTTCACTCAGCACATGGCGGTGGTGAGCAGGGATGACAGTAAAGCTGACTTTGACTTTGGCATTTTCCAGAGCATTTTAGAACATTTGTGTATTATATACTGCGTCACCAGTTAGCTTTACATTGAGACAGTCTGACCCTCTATACTAAAGTGAAGATTTCTAAGACATGTAATAAGAATGTAGTAAGACAGTCTTCTGGTGTTTAGGCCTTACTCATAGGTGGATTGTGCTTATTAACAGACTGTAGCTTCTAATCAATATTTGACCTGTTAAGATTGAATCTCATCAGATTGTCTGGCATAGAACTAGCTGGATGTCTACATATCAACAAATGATATGCGAAAGATGACAAGTTCAGAGGCTAATTCAGCCTAGTTATTACTTAATAAAGTAGTAATGCTTAACAAGAGCACCGCAAGAGTGTTATAACGTCTTCTGCACTGAAGTGTTACTGGTATTGCTGATTAAAGGGCCGATATCATGGAATACATTTTCCTCACTTATTGGAAATAAAAGACCTTTTCAAAAAGCCTCATTCACTCTCCAGTCCATACAGTCCATATATGGAAACTGAGCTGCACAAACAGCCTGTTTTGAATTCATGTTTTTGTGATGTCATAAATGCCAACACATTTACATAAATCCACCTTTATAGCTTTTTAAATGAGGCACAATACAGGGCAGCCAATCAGAACAGACATATAAATATATATATATATATATATATATATATATATAAAGGCAGAGTCTTAAAGGCACAGTAACAAAAAAAGTTGAAGTTGAAAAATATTCACAGAAAAGTGAATTATGTCTGTTTCTGGTACATAAACCCACAAAGACATTATAAGTGGACCTCAGGGGAAAAATACAACACAACAGAAATGTCAGATATCCTGATTTATGTCATTACTTGACGTATTTAGCCTAATTTTAAAGGCAAAAATGTTGTGGTCAAATTAGTGGGTGACTTGGGATTTGAGGCACATAATCCTAAAGTATTTAAACTCAGGCCCTGTCTTTAGTTGGCTGACTAGCAATCACTGTGTCATGAGCATGACTGCACCTTGACATTCACTTATCACAGGCGGTGACACTATGATGCAAATTCACCATTTAATTAAGGATGCAACAGTACAACGTGTTATGCTGCAGTGCAACTTGTATTGTACTGAATTGAGGGCTGGGCGATATGGCAAAAAATATCACAATAAGTTGGAATACATGAAATAAAACCTGTACTTCCACATATAGAACACTACTATACTAATACTATAATAATAATAAACCTACAACTATTATTTTTATTCAGTGTTTCACAATCTGCACTAAATCCAAATAAACAGGCCTGATTATGCTCACTGGAATATAACATGATTAATCGGTACTGACGATATCCTCAATATGCTCAGAAAAGCACATTGTGACATAATTCATCATGTCCACGATAAAATATATTCATTTTATTTAGCCCTATTATATTGTATTGTTTTATAGTGACCGTCTTCTGGCTAGTGTGTTAGCACAGAGCTAACATATTAGCTTGTGGCTATAGCATTAGATCGGTACACTATGAAGCACAGCTTTTGTTTCAGTTATTGCACTTTTGTCATGTTGAATGCTTTAATAAACGAAACATGGAACGATTAACATACTAAGGCACATTTTCAGCCGCTCATTATTTTTGCTGTATTGAAAAATGTATGGAATTGAGTTGAATTCTGAATTTTGTGAATTATTAGTCTTACTGTAAGTATACTGTCCTTTTACAGTACGTATAGACCCCTTTACAGTAAGTATTCCGTGTATAACAAGAAAAATGTACACACATACACTGTGAAACACAGTGGTGATGTTATTAAGAGTATTAGTATGAATACTGTTGCTAATATCAAGTCATGGACGGAGATGGAGAATAGATATAATCTGGTCTTTTTATTCATGTATTAAACATGTAATAAACTCCAACAGAGGAAAATGAAAATATTCCATGTCTTTCTACATTTCCTGCTCGACATAACCTTGAACAGCTGTTAAGAGAAGCACAGTTTTGAATATTTCTAAAAATCAGAAATGAATAAACATTTGGCACAGAAAGAATAGATTACAACAATACAGGCTTTTAGAAATTCCCCGAGAAGTGAGTAGTGAGGCTAATGTTGCTTTTGTCTGCTGCGATTTATCTGAGAAATGGACAGAAGAAGGTTATTAGTACTTGGAAAACTAAGAGGGTTAGGCTGCACTGATTAAACACAGGAGCATCAGCTAAAATGGGCACATACACACAGACTACCATAGCAAACACCCGGAGCTGAAAGAGGTACTGCAAAACGTAGAGGTCTTGGGCCTGAGCTGAGATGGCAGGGTTTCTTATATTTCTTGTAGAGATAAATGTATAAATATGATTGTACTGTACTCCAGTCTCCCTGTTAATAGACATTTTATGCTTTTAGGGAACCTTGGCCACTGGCATTCATTTCCTAGTACTAGTCTGGTAACAGTGACAAACTGTCATGTTATGGCTGTGTAGATGTCCGGCTTTTTAAGCCAGGGACGCACAAAAACACAAAAAAGACCAAACGGCGATCAGATCAGAACCATCATTCACATTGCATAAGTCATTGTTATACCATTCAACAAATGACAAAACAATTAAAAACGGTTCTCTCAGACAATACTTAACACAAGTTCGGCTTCTCGTACGTAAACCAGCTTCGTTCGTGTGACTTTTCTTTAAAGCATTTAAAAGAACTGAAAGTGCTCAAATTGCATTTTAGTCAGAAGTCCAATGAAACAATGCGGGAAGGTAGGCGGATTACTGGTGAGACTCCTAATTTCAATACCATAGCAATAAGGACCACTTTAGTTCACACTGCGTCATCATGGAGCTGCCAAGAACAAAATACACGGCCATGTTAAAAAGGAAAATCGCCAGTGCAAGTGGGTATAAAAATACAATCAAATACAATATCTACCAATGACGGATGCAAAACGCTCGGAACGCATGACTACAGAAAATGAATAGGTGGGACGAGCTAAAAAAGGCACATATTTTCCCTTTTGCTATAATTGTGTAATTCTGTTAGCAGTTAGCAAAAAACATGAGCTTCAAAATAGTAAAGATATGTTATGTGTAAGTATTAAATCTTCTCCAGCCAACTTCTAACAATACCAAAGCCATATCACTGTACATATTATCGAAATGATTATTTCAAATTAGATGTGTATCAGATAATCAGATGAAGTAATAAACTCTGTATTTCTGACTGACGTAAAAATTAAAAGTTCTGAAAATCTAAAAACGTACTATATATATAGGTTGAGCATATCTGACAGTAAGTGCTGTGGTGTTGCCTTCGCTATAAACAAACCAAAAAAAAAAAATCAGACAATGTGTGAAACCTATACAAATAGCGATCTCAGAGAAATAGCTTTATTTTTACTACTTACTGTAATGTTGAAAATCAAACACCTGAGACAACATTTATGGTATAATCTTTTTTTTATCCACCATAGAATATCATAGTTAAATCTTTCCAACTGTATAGCTATCTTTTGCTTTTGCATTTCTATACCCGTCTTTAAACTCAACACTCGCCCACCATGGTTCTGCGCTGGACTTGCTGCCATTCATCGCCCCACAATGACAAACACATGTCACTCTCTCTCTCTCTTTCTCTCTCTCGCTGTGTCTCACTGTCCCTCTGCATGTTCAGTGAGGAACGCTCGGTGATGCGGTGTAGTTTTAAGGCATGGTGTCCCGCTGCCGGCGGAAGGTTTGTTTTTTTTTCTTTTCATTTCTGATGAAAGAGCAGCGGTTTCACACTCCCAGCTTTGATTTTTGGTAACTGGTTGCTGATGATTTCTGCAAGCATCTCGGGGAACTCCACGCTCAGCGACTTGTTCACAAATGTGTAGAAGCAGAAGTTCATCAGTCCACCCACCATCTGCGGAGAAGAGGAGAGAATGATGTGAAGTGAGTGAGAGGGAGAGTCACTGCTGCAAAGGCACTTTTGGAAGGGTAATGCATAGTGAAGGGCCTTGTTATGCAACATGCGTCATGCACAGGACACGGTCCGTCTCAAACCATCAAACTAGTCCACTGCAGTGTTTCCTGATCGCTCCACAGTACAGCTGCCTGTTTTAATACTTATTTTAACATGCCCTCGTAAACTGAGTCTTGCCATTAACCTTGCTGCGTTTATATAATGACGGCGGACGGTCAACGACCAACCAGATATTCCATTGTTTTCAAGGGGGCAGCGACGGAAAACTCAGCCATGGCCAGCAGCAACGGCAGCGCACTGCGGCAGTCAGCGGACCGTTCAGGCAACAGTACAATTTTCCTAACCTTTGCCATCAACCACGGTGGTAAAAAAAAAAACGGATGTTCATTTTTTCCCAGAGTCACAGACACCAAACATCTCACAGTTGAAGTCTAGACAAAACTAATATTATGCAACAAAAATAAAAGAGTGCAGAGCGTCCTCCTGCCTTTCTCGACCTCAAATTAAACAACTCTCCCCTGACAATCACTCATTTTCACCAGTGACACTGTCGCCACAGAAACAGTTCCATAGTTCTTATAGTGCCCTCACATGTTAGTGGTAGACATATGATGGCAATTCGGATATTCTACTGTTTTCTATAGAGCTATGACAGAAAATTCTGCCACTGCCAGCGGCAACGTTCTGCAAACTACAGCAGTCACGGAAAGTTCCGTCAAGAGTTCAATTTTACGAACTTTTGCCGCTGACAACAGAAATGAAACTGAATGTTTGTTTGTCTGAGTGTCCTCCTGTCTTCATCCACCTTAAATAAACAATATACGCTGATAAAGCTCTCTTCTGAGAATCACTCACTTTCATCAGCAGTGCTGTTACTTTGCCAATGTTTGGGTGGTTCCATGCCACTGTCGGTCACATAAAACCATGAGGCGTGGAACAACAGTATTTTCAATGCAATCATGTGAACGCATGAATGTCTTCCAACAGCCTCTTAAAACTAAAGGTTCCTAAATGGTTCTTAGCTCGGAGGTACAGTTCTAGGCAAAACTTTTTATCGGTACAAAACTTTTACATTATGTGAAGCTTCTGTAAACCTCAAAAAGGTTCTTTACACTCTCACATCTCATTTACAAAAATGGTTCCTTAAAGAACCATGCAAATTTGCTTTAAGGAACCACAAGTTGTTCTTTAATGTCACTGCACCAAAGAACCCTTTATTTTTAAGATTCTCTTGCAAGTTATGATAATACTGGATGGCAGTTTCAGAATATTTAATACAAGATGTGGTGATCTGGGATCAGGTTTTGTGACTAAAACCATCTCAAACCTGGGAGGAATCCAATCCTGGGTCAAGAGATTAGTGGATGATTTGTGAATACCAGACTATTCGTATGTAGTAATAAAACTGTAAATTCTTACGTCGTGCATGGAGTCCAGTAGCTTAGTGAGCTGGTAGAATCGTTGCCAGTTCTGGCTGGAGTTCCCCTCTCTCCTGACGATGGCTTTTCCTAGTTCTTTAATGTAGGACATCCTGATCTCATCGAACACAGCCTGACTCTTCAGACCGTCCTTTGGCACTGAGGAAGAAGAGCAAGGCATGAACACAAGCTTTCCATTCAGCACAGATACAAAAAAAGTGCAACCAAAGACAGTTTTTGACACATGTCAAGGTTTGATTTGTGTGTAAACTAGGTGAAATGCAGTGGAGCTGGGAGTAAGGTCAGCCTCTCACCTGTGCTGAGCAGCAACAGGACCTTCATGCACAGGTACTCCTCGTTCGACACCTGCAGCCTGACAAACTCATTGGATATCTTCAACATCTGTGCACACTGATCACCCATGTAGGGCAGTTTCATCCTCTCCCTGCAGAAATACACATTCAGCAATTACTCATCTGACTCTGATCCAGAACACTTACAACTGTTTTTTTCCTGACTGTTTCTTTCGGTACCATGACGTATTTCTGAGTGAAACACTGTATCAGAGAGGGTCTCTGAGGTGGCTCAATGTTTCTTTTGATGATAGGTGAGGGCGATGGGAAGGGGAGGTGAAACATGATATTATTGGATAATATTTTACCCTGTCCACAAGTGCATAGTGATGTAATCAAAATTCAGAATATGTTTTAGAGTCGGGCGAAAGTCCCTACATTACAATCAGAGAACGCAGGAAAATCAGGATTTTTTTTTCTGTTAGAATACATATGATGAATTGTGCTTAATTTGACCAGGATTTTAAACTGCAAGACAAAAAAAGGGTTAATTTGAAGCTATGTGTTCATAGAAATTCTAAAACTATATTTAACTTTTTCCAACAACCTTAACCTGATGTACCCTACACTAAACTTCTCTGCTAAATGAACATTTTCTACAGTACAACAGCACTGCAGCACCTAACTGGATTTTCAGCAAAAACTCTCAAAACTCAAACTTATTTCATGATTGGCACCATTTTCTAATTTTCTCTTTCATCCTTGGGAAATCAGAACTTATATAAATGATACAGAATCCTTTATATAGCAATAAAAACGAACTATTTAAAGCCATAATAGGAATGGTATAGTTAATTCTCAGCTCAGAGAAGAAGTCTGCTACAGGGTCTCAGGCAGGGTTTTTCATGTACAACATAGGGCTTAGGTTGGGCTCATGTTTTTCTATCAAGTGATGTTTTTTATTTAGTAGATTTGTTTTTAAAGAACATGCCTTCATAAATTTTGCGCACTTTCACACATTCTCTCTCCTGCACTCTCTCTCTTGTACAACAAAGCCTAACTTATGGTCTTGCAAACAGTTTGCCACGAACAAATTAAACAGAAAGCTATTTTTATTCAGGGCTCTATTACTATAGCTATTCTGTAAGCTGCACTGTATATGATTATAGTGGCATAATGCTTGAGAGAAGCGGCTCCTTCGAGTATGCATGGCTACAACCATGCAAAAGCAAAGAAGCGTCCTAAGCACAGCAGAACGCTTCTGTGATGTTTTCTGTTTTTACTGTTAAGTTTTCAGTTTTTGTGAGAGGAAAACATTGCAGGAATATCTGCTGTCCTTGGCAGGAATGGCCATCAGTTCTTTCATTGTACATCATGTTCTGTTTATTTTATGGGCCTTTCACTGCAATGTGAACGTGTTTTTCCTTGTAAAATGCCATTAAAAGGCTACAAGTTTGAATGAAGCAAATCCTGTACATTAGTGGTAAATGTATCCCAGTAATGTACCAGGTCTGTTCTGCAGCAGTGTAAGCAGGTTTGGGTCAGGCTTGGGTTTCAAGTTTAGCAATACCAGTCAAGTGGAGGGTAGTAATCATGTTTTGGCTTCAATTTCTTGCCCATACAGACTTTTACCTCTGAGTAGAAAATGGCTGATGATCTGACGGTCTGATTATACTGATTATCTTAAACACTGGCCCATATTTACAAAATGTCTCAGAGTAACAGGGCTGATCTGGGGTCAGTTTATGCCTTTTACGTAGCACTGAACAGGATTACAGGGACAGATCTTAGACCAGTGAGATGCCTGATACATAACGGTGAAACCGGCCTCAGATAAAAGGGCATCTATCTTGTCCCAACACCACAGAGCTACGGTGACAGTGAAGGCCATCAGTGAGCTACTCACTCATTGATCACCAGGTCTGGGGCAAAACAAAGCATGTTGCCGTTGCACTGCTGGTAGGACCTCCAGCCCAGACTGAAAGACATGAGGAAGAGCCAGGATGACTGCAGCAAGGTCATCTGATCATCCAGGTGAAGATTACGGAAACCTGCATGTGGATAAAAAAGTTGTTTATCAGCTTATAACATACAGACCACTCACCGCTACAGTCTACAATCAAATGTCAAATAAGGTTCAGATAAATCTTTGTCCTTAACTAATGAAGCGTTAGCTTAGAGCCTTGTTTAGGAAAGCAACAAGTGCATATTTATGAAATCAAACCCATAAAGCCAGCAGGTTCAGCCCAATGGAGAAAAAGCGTGTATTATCTCTGGGACTTTGGGCTGAAACGCGAGCTGCTGTGGGCAAAGATGTCAGCTTCAGCTAAATGATTAAATGAAAGTACTTAGTACCTGGCAGAGCTTTGGCCCACTTGACAGCAGAGATGAACTGGCGGCCACCCAACCTGTTGAGGGTGGTCATGAGCCGAGTAGAGGTGTCAGTCAGTGTGCTGTCATAGCCAGCATAAATGGTCTCTGGCTCGATGGCTTTGAGCAGGGACAGCATGGTGGGCACGAGCTGGGGCATGGCCTTGGGCACCAGCGCCCGCACCTCCTGCACTGGAGCTGGGCTCATCTCGACCGTGTTCACCTGCTGGACACCCTTTAAGCCCTTCATCTTCTTGACTTTACGTGCTGGAACAGATAAAGATAGATAAATGAAGAGAACTTTTCCATTAGGGCTGATCTGTAAACAGGCCAGTTACAATGTATATTAGGATAATATCCGTCCCAGCTTTGATAGTTTGCTGCTTGCTCCCTGAAAGCCAGAAGATGACTTTTTCATAAGCAGCTACAAAAATGACTGATTTACACTTTATGCTGACTTATATATATATACAGTCATATGCTAAAGTTTGGGAGCCCCTTACATGTGTTGTTGATTTTAAAATAAGTTAACGCATCCTCTGCGGAGAACAAACTTAAATATAACGTTTCTGCTAATTTTAGTGCACAATTTAAAGTGAATAAGTAAAAATAAATAAAAGAAAACATACAAAAGCAAGAAAGCAAATAAGACAAGAAACTTGTGCCATAACTTTTGCACAGGTACATTTTACGTTTTATTTTCTTTTTCTGATATTAAATTCAGCAAATAAGGAGTAACTGTGCATTAAAATGTGCAAACTTGTTCTGTGTAGAGGACCTGTTAACTTTGCTTAGAAATTAAAAAAAATACGTAATTTTACCAGGGGTGCATAAACTTTTACACATGACAATACTGATTTATACAAATGTTTAAATTTTGTCTGCATACTGTTGATGTGGTACGAAAACTCAGGCTGGAAAATCTAGTAGAATATTCTTAACATGTTAGTGTAATATAAAAATGTGAAAGTCGGGACGCACCAATCATGAATTTTTTTATTGAATCCAATCTGATTTATTTATGGGGTATCAGCCAATAGCTGATTTTATTCATTATCCTTTTTCAAGCTGAAGTTCACATTGTGGAGTAAATAAGAACTTATCCAGTACTTTCTATTAGCCAAAACTGCAATATAAACATTATTTGCTTTTTAATAAGCCAAATTTTAAATTATTAAATGAAATATGAGTCATCTATTTAAATAATATGAATCAAATGAAGTGCTACATGGAAAGTAAGAGGCAACTGCCGATTTATCACAAGTTATGCATTATTATGCTACAACGTTATGGCTCAGAAGTAGCAGTGGGATTCAAATACAGCACAAGCACACTTACCTGGCTTTACCTCACAAAACTGCAACACAGATCGGCCCATTTATCACGACATGTTAACACAACGTAAAAGGCAGCCAAAGATCTCAAACAGTATAAAATAGTTTATAATGGCAGTGACAATACGCTAACACATCATAACATCTTTGGTTTTTACCTTCTAGGTTCATCCCGGCCATTAGGCACTTGCGGAAGCGGCAGGCAGGACAGTTCTTCCTGCGGATTTTATCGATGATACAATCGTTCCGCCCAGCGCACAGGTAATTGTGTTGCCCTGTGAGGATTCAAGGAAGAGCAAATGACATTTCAATTAAACAACAGTCCTGGAAGACTCAATTAGAAGGCACATCTTGTCTTTACTGCTAGTGCCAAAAGTCAAGACAAAAAAACAATTAGGTCGTTTGGTTGGAAACAGCACCATTTCTGATTACAGCAATTCTCAATCCCTGTCCTGGGGGATTCTCGCCCTACACAGTTGGGCAGTTCCCTGAGGTCCAATTATGATGTTTGTGTAGATTCATGAACCAAAAACAGTCGTACAAAACAACTTTCCAATCGTTCTTTAGAACCAATCAGACTGTTTCTGTTACTGTGCCTTTAAGACTGATTGGATTGACTGCCATGTATTTTGCCCAGAGCTGGAATACAGCACATAGCTTCAATAAAATCGGGCAGGGCTAAGCCACTGTAGGCCGAATAGGTGAAAATCTGTAAACAGGTTGTTTTTTGTTACATCACAAAACAATGAAATCAAAACTTCCTTATAATAAACTGGGAAGTGAACAGAAGTTGAAATTTTAATAATGTTTACATACTCTTTTACCTAAAAACCAAAAGTCATGAACATGTGTTTTTCTACGATATGGACCCTTTAAGCCTGTGAAAATTAGCTGGAGTTTTGCATCAGGGGTGTTGAAGCAGAGAAGTGGTCCTCCAGGACAGAAACTGATAGCCACTCTCTCAGACAGCTCTCCATGCATGAAGTAAAGTGTTTCTACTTGCTTTGAGCATGAATTCCGCGCGTTGCTGCGATATTACACCACAGTAAAGCTTATGGTTGTCATTCAAAACAGCATGGCTGGCCAAGAGCACAAGCAGGCTGCAGCTTGAAGCCATTACATAGTCTATGAATGTACTCTAATTGAGTACTTAACCGCTCAGCAGGGTGGATTGTCAGACACATATTTGGTTCTTTTGTAAACGTTGATTCTCCACTGAAAAGCCTGTAAAAGGCTCTAATTTGTATTTGGAACAGAACTATGCAAAATTATATTATTATGTTATATTACATTAACTACATACGACCATACATTTAACTAAAAACAGAATTTTTGAGTTGTTCGATTACTCTAATTAAATCAAACAAAGTCAATCATTCTAATTCAGGTTAAATATTAAGTATTTTAAGTGTCATTTTATAATGTCTAAATTAAAATACAGTCACTAAGATACGTCTGTCATTGTTGCAATGCAGAGAACCATTTTGCACCTCACAGAAAAAAAAGAAGCCAATATAACGGTCGAATCAGCAGGCGCAGAAACATGCGCTCAGCTGTCACACCATGCTGATAATCTCGTCTTTACATGAGGAGGCACAAAGAGGCAGAGACGAGCGACGGGAGGGAGACAGCAGCATTTACAGAGTTTAGTTACCATCTGTGTTTTGTCTCGATCGCCATCCTTCACCAATGCAGGGAAAACAAAAGGAAAATAACAATAACAGAACACATCTTACACTCTTTGTATTGTGTACTAAAATAAACATACACTTAAAGGGCCCATATGTTACATTTTTCTTGTATTCTCCCCCCACTTATAATGTTTGTGTGGTTTTATGTACCAAAAACAGTCAGAATTTATTTTTACATTACCTTTTTCTAAACTCTCGGTATTCTATAGAATTAAACAGGCTGTTTATGCTGCTGTGCCTTCAAGACTGATATATGTAAATGAGCTCTGTTCTTGTATTGTGCCTGATTCAAAGCCCAGTCCAGTCTGAAACACTCCTTATAACTTCAGCATGAATGAATGGGGCCAACCTGCTGCAATAAGAATAGGCGGATGTATAGGCGGATTTAAATGAGCTGTTTTTCATGACATCACAAAAACAACAATTTCAAAGTGAACGTTTGAAAGTGTTTTTTTGCAGATTTGTTTCAATCTACAGATTCAATCTACAATCTACGAACTGGGGAGTAAAAAGTATGTTCTGAAACTTGAACCATGGTTACAGACTACATCAAACTCTTTTATTTCAAAATAGCATGAATAGTTGGTATTCTGTGATACAGGCCCTTTAAAGTCTGTCTTTTACTGTCAACCACTTTATTATACTAAATGGACAAAACATAACTAAGGCCATATATCTGGTAGATAACTTAAAGAATGAACAAAGGAAACGCAGGGGTAGAAAAAGTAGTGTTTGAGAGTGTGAAGTATGGATGGGCGTAGTTATTTCAATATGTGGATATCCAATTCAGTATTTATTCACTGAGTCATGGTAACTGAACATGAAATGTGTAGTGTGGACGAAAAGAAAGAAGGAGCAGTGTATTACGCCGTAATTTTCCAGTTTTTCAGAGTGAAACAGAAACTACAGAAAAATTTCAGGGCACAAGCAGCAGCGATTTTTTTATCTCGTGTAGGGGTGAGTGATATGGCACAATACTTCAAGACATTTTCATGAAGCATGACATGCATCAAGATACTTTATTTTTCTGAGGTTTAAAAAGTTGGAACAGACAAGACAGAACCTGTAGTGCCACATAAAAAAACACTATAATAATAATAATAAATCTACTACTACAATGATTTTTTTATGTTTTACAAACTGCACTGAATTAAATCCAGTTAAACAGGCCTGATTATGCTCACTTTGTGATGACACGTAAGTCAGTGTTCTTTACATACTGATAATATCCACAACATGCTCAGAAAAGTGTGTTGTGACATAATTTATCATGATGAAAAAATATTGTCAGATTACCCACTTCTAGTCTCACATTTACATGAAACGCAACATGTAAGTGGAGCAATATGGGTCAGTCTTATGAAACTGCTTCAAACCATATCCATTAATACAAAATATTCACAAAATGTATAATCTGGCATTCTTTACCCTAATTTCCACATATTTTCTTATTATCAGTATGTATAATGTTTGCTTTTTTAATTAGAAAAAAATTAGTCTGTGTAATCCAAGTGTTGTAAAAAGTGTTGTACAGTCTAAGGAAGTGAATCAAAAGAACTAAATGTTATGTGGTGCAAGTAAACAGAAAAACACAATGGCTGTACAGTGTCCTTTAAACTTCAACACGATTGCATAACACCAGCTACTCAAACTGTTTGCTCTTACTGTCAAAGCAACTAAGCCACCACATCTGACAAAGCTCGCTGGTTTGCGTGGGGTATTTTGGTGAGGTTGTCAGTCGTACGATGTCAATTCAGTGTGCAGCACTTAGTTTGCATGTAACAGTCATGACACTTTTTACAGAATGATGACACTTCATCTTCAGAGGTCTGTGTGTCAGTGTGCGTTAGCACTCACCTTCCACAGCTCTTTTGAAGAAGACCTTGCAGCTGCCGCAGGTGAGCACGCCGTAGTGGCAGCCTGACGCCTCGTCTGAACACACCAGGCAGATTTTATGTGTGGCGCCGCCGGATTTCCCCGCACCCGAAGATGCAGCAACGCTGAGCTCAGGCCTGCTTGCGGAACTAAAACACACACAAACAAAAACAGATCAGAGCGGTCACCATGCTTCCCAGATACTCTCGTCTGCCTGTAAGATTGATGTGACAGGACAAAAAGCTGCGGGCCTGATTTTGATGATTTATTAAAATGAAGTGACGGAATTTTTTATCTTCATGCCATTAGGGTCTGCCGTTTGTATTCAGTGAGATCAAAGTTTGTTTACGCTGTAGAAAAACAAATTTTGCAAATTCTTCAAATGTAATCAAATGCCTTTTGTTTAAAAGACAACCTGAAATCCAAATGAACCCTTTTCATCTTGTTAGTTCGTGTCCCTGATCATATTAAGTTGTTTTTCTGTAATCTTTGATCAAAATGTACCGACTTTTGCCTGTCCATAAAACACCTTTCGGGAAAAATAATACAGAGTCAAAATATCATGTTTCACTTCACCCTTCCACTTTCCCCAACTAATATCGTCAAAACTTTTACTCAGAAATGCATCATGGTACAGAAGGAAAATGAGTTCATGTAGACTTCGACAATTATGAATAAACCTTCTCTCCCAAATACAGTCTTATGCAAAAATTTGAACAGTACTTGTCAAATTCCAGGGTCTGTTGGCTTCTACATGGAACAAAACTAAACATGGCGAAATGTAACATTTTGGAAAACTTCGCCGTAACTTTTGCACAGGCCACACTTAATGTTTTATTTTTTCTCCAATATGTGTTGAATTCAGCAAATAAACAATAACATTAAAACGTTTGCATATGACTGTACATATCTCACTCGCCCCCACCCGCCCCTTTTTCTTCTCTGTCATCTACCCTGTAATCAGAGGTACTGAATTATGCCTGAAGAAAACTGTTATTTTATCATCCGCTTTTCTTTATTTACTATTGTGAGTCATTTTTTTTCTTTGCATAATCATTTATCTGACATTATCTTCTGCATTGTTGCAGGTGTAGAACAAACTCACTGTGTGTGCAAAGCCTCAAAGTCTGCTTATACATTATTTCAGCTAAGAAATAATGCAGTTACCAGAATGATTCATGTCAGTTTACTGCCAGAGAAACTCATTTGGTCTGACTGTGACAGAAATGTCACCCCCACAGTCTGTCTAATGAAGAAGCTGGGAAACAGAATTAAGGATTGTCCAAGCAGGGTCGTCAAATCCTAATGAATGTCGCTTTCGAGCAGAAACCAGGAATTTCTTTGGCCACCAGGGGGCAACTGTTGACTGTGGCCAGAGCACTGTGCCCTGCCCCACATCCACAGTGGCAGCACGCAGACTGCATGAAGCCATATGAGCAACGCCCCCTCATAGAGAGAGTGAGAGAAAGAGAAAAACAGCAACACACCACGTGTGAACAAACTACCAAGTGGATGGCCTATATGCAAATCGGACAAACGAAGCAGAAAACACATTACAGAAAGAAAGCTGTCTGTCCTGTTTAAGGCTGATCATTGCTGCAGCCCAGATTCAGAAGCTCTGCCCTTATATTTTATAATATGTTTCTATTTTCAAGTCTTTTTATATGCAGTTACATAACTGCAGGTTCGCTTTCATTCACCAGCCTTGGGCCTGATCCAGTACTGCAATATGCTCTCAGTAGGATATGACAGGAGAAGACCAGCAGTTGGCAGCATTTATGACCTTTTAGGTCCCTCGAATACATAACTAGATTTCACAGAGAGACCCAGGGATTCAAGACAGACCAAGAAAGGCAGGCAGGGCATGGGTAGTTAATCAATCACAGAGCAAAATCTACATGAACACTACATGATCTACACTGATTGTATTAGTAATCAAGTAACCCAGTGATTATTCTGTCCTTTAACTGAGAAATCAGAGTTTTAAACAGGCCAAACAATTAAAATGGATTTAAGTAAACTTCTTGAAAGTAAAGTTAAAATTCAAAACCATAGTATTTTCAGTTTACCAGTATTGTATGAAGCTACACTAGGAAGCCTTACAAAGCTCATAATTTAATGCAAAAAAATACATTTAACATTGAAACCAGGGCTGTCACTATCAATTATAATATAACTGAGTGATCCAGTGATTATTCTGATGATTAATAGAGTAATCAGAGTTTTAAAAAGACCAAACAATAAAAACTGGACTTGACTGAATTACGAACAATAACAAACTATGCGTAGTATTTTAAAGATACCAACATATTGTATAAAGCTAAACTAGGAAGGCTTTAAAAAGTCTGACCACAATGAAAAAAAAGAGTGCATTTAAATGGTTTAGGCTCTGTTTTTTTACTGTTATCTTTATATAAACTGCCAATGACTTACTAATGTATTATGAAGGTAAATTCGATGATTGATGATTTTTAATGGAGTAATCGAGGCAGTTCAAACTGATGCCTACGAAGTAGTTACTACAGTTTCACAGAAGACTTGGCCCACTGGAATCCCTTATCAAAATATTCAGATCAAACATTTTTGAAGCATCCTCAGGTCCAGCCAGTCCACATTTTTGCACTTTTACAGTTCACAGCACTCCTAAGCCAGGTAATCAGGGGCTTCACGGTACCTGGTACACAGAGATATTCCCACCATTTTGACTCCAGTCAAAGAGTTCAGATGCCGAACAATATCTAGGTCACACAAACCGTACCAAAGCACAATAATCAGGCACGTTACAACACTTTAGCTATGATAGCGTCTATCAGTAAACACGGTCTGAGAACCCTCATGAGGTGCCAAAAAGGCATCTGGAGACTGCAGAGGTACTGATAGCAATCAACATGCCATGATCCATTGTTTTGCTTCGGGGGTTCATTGCAGTTAATAATTGTCTGAAAATTACATCATGGAAGCTTATGTTTATAAAAAGGATTGCAGCAATAATCAGAGACGGCTGTGTGAATAACACTTTATACACGTATATAATTGCAATTCTTGGCCATTTATCAAATACTAGGGCTGTATATGAGGATCCAAGTAACACTGTTAGAGCCAAGAATGCTTGTTTTTTATGAAAAGCGTGTGGTACCTTTGCTTTAACTTTGTGTTTCAGAAGGCAGTGATATGGCAGTCATATAAATGATGGTGCATATTATGATAACAATATGATTCAGCTTCCATTTTAAAGCAGCACCCCGGCCAAAATGAAAAACTGAACCATTTCTACAGCTGTTGTAAACTTGCCTACTCGCCTCCTACAGGGATACCACAGTAGTCTCTGGAGTGAGATTTTGTGGTTTAAAGACTTGGAAAAGCTTCATCTGATTATGGATCGTGAAGGTAGGAGGAAAGTTTGAAAAACTACGAACACTTTGGGGTGCATGCATGAGGGCAGGCGGTTTGAGGTTTTTTTTCCACTACCTGGCGAAATGCAGAAGGGAAGCCAGATAGCTTAGGTTATTGCTAGGAAGCCGAATATCACGCCTCTATTTATTGGCTAATAAATACAGACGTGATATTCATCTTCCTAGCAATGAATGGAACATCAGTGGATTTCTTTATCACAGTGGGGGCACACAATTATTTGTGTAATCCAAGCTGGGTATTGTAGTAAGAGAACATTGATGGCTGAACACACCAAGAGGATATGAGCATGAATTCTGTCAAGCATATTAGGCCGACAGATGCAATACTGTGCTACAAAACATGACCAAAAACAAAAACATTAAATATAACATAGTAATGCTAGTTTTAGGCAGGAGTGCCCCTTTAAATGAGTAACATATCTGTGTATGATATTCTATTTACAGTTTAATTACTATAAACATTATTTTTGGAGAAATATTGGGCCTTATTTTTTCAGAAATATCAACAATTTTTCATGTTTGTCTTTATTCAGTGTAGCCATATTAAATGTAGGTCTAGTCTCTTGTGCAACCCCAGTTTATACTCAATTCAACTAGTCAAGCATTTTCAAATAAATACAAGTATGCAATACAAATCCACCTAATTTTGAACTCAGTGTGATTCGAAATATAACCTAAGAGCTGCTTACAGCACCATCTGGCTGATCACACGGTCCAGCAGAAGATGTCATGGCTTTAGCATGTCTGTGTGCAACCAGCCAAACACACAGTGCCAGCCGACGTGAGCTTTTAGATCAATTAACAATATCACTGTTACAGAGTGAGGCAAGACTGATGGGTCTGCCAGCAGAGAGGACGGCTTGACTCACAGCAATGAATCTTGCCTTGTCTTATCTCTGTGTTTATTTGATTCACTAGAGGAGAATAACTGAGTTGTAAATGATCAACACTCACCCTTCCCCAAAATGGAACAACTGACTCCATCTTAGTGGTGTTACATGCTGACGATGGCATGCAAACAAGCATGATGAGACTAAGAACGACTTTACGATACACAATGACTATCGTGTCATATTTCGTTTTCTGAGGTTTGTAAACAAGCTGAACAGGTACAGCAAAAAAATGTGTACTGTAATTTATTCAACATTTGCAAAAACAAATTAAGCAGGAATAGGAGGACAAATCAAAATTTAAATGAATAAAATAAGATGATGTCATCATGGGCTGACATCCAATTATTTACCACAAACTGATTGTCGTTGTTCACAGGCTCTTAGTAATTGGTCTAAATCTGTCTTTCATGATACGTGCAGTTGTTCAGTGTTCTAGAATACCTGTGAGATCAATGATAAACTCAGAACAGCAAACTGTGACCACACTCGAGGTTATGTGTTATCACCAAGAACATCACGGCTGTGATTCAGTTGCTGTAGATCAGGGGCATTTAATTAAAATTCAATAAGGTCCGGATGGAGAAATTTCCTCAAGCAAAGGTAATATACCTCTAACCTGCATCAGGATTCAGTGTCATACACTGTATACTGAAGTAGCCTAGTAGTTATATGAACATCTTACATAGTCCAAAACTGTATGTCAAATCAAATAAAGTACAATCCAATAATATTTCAACAATATTTGTCAGTTTTCACACTGAATTGGACGAATTATAAATAACAAACACTCTAAGATTTGTGTTTTGTCTTGTAGCGGCGCTTGACATTACTGCATTTAATAAT